TAAACCTGATAATGGTGCTAATGTAGTCTAATTGTGCTATGGAAGAATTCTCTGTGTCTAGCCAAAGAAACTGATGACTGTTTCTTCATAGAAAATGGGATGATGATAACAACATAACAGCGTGGGAGTGAAGCTTGAGCAGCTCATAATTATATTCTGCCTTTTAATTCTATTGCCTCCTCTTTATTCCACCTTTGTGACTCATCATTTTAATGTTATACTTGTCATCTGAGTTGGAACATGTTGTTTAAAATTTCATTTTCAGATACGATCGCAGATTTTTTTTGGAAAATGTTATGGACTCAGAAAGGAACACTGAAATACAAAGATAAAGAGAGAAGGATCAAAAGGACTAGGAATGGCAAATATTGGGAATAAAATGAATCCTGCTCTTGGCATTCCCCATTGTGGCCATTTACTTTCCTCCACTTGCCTGAAGGCCTACATAACTCCTCCTCTCCAAACTTCTCCAATGTTTCCCTACTCCTCTTCCTATGTCCTATCCATTTATGGCTAAGTTGAAAATGTTGGAAACACTCAGCAGATCTCACACAGCGTGGGTTGTTCATCAGATGAAAAGTCATTGATCCAAAACATTAAATTTGCTTTTTTCCTCCATGGTGCTGCCTGATTTCCAGCATCCTCAATATTTTGTTCATATTTTCCACTTACAACTACATATGCCTATCTCTCACTCCTTGCTATCAAATCCATGCAGCCCAGAACCTTAAAAGAATCTGCATTCCTTCAGTGCTGGCAGTTTTAATTGTTCCATCATTAGCAGTTCTACCATCAGCTGCCCAGACTTAATCTATCAAATTTTCCTTTAAAATCTCCCCAGGTACACCTTTTTCTCCTCTTTTAACAGACTCCTTTCAATATATTCTGGATTCAAAAGCTTGATTTTTTTTTCCTATTCATTTCTGTTACATTAAATATCCGATGAAATTTTAGGAAATTGAGTGTCCACTAAATAAGAATGTAGTACATTTTATCTGCAAAAAGTGTTGACTATATCTATGATACATTTCTACCATAGGTTCAACAAAAGTAAAGATTAGTTTATATGAAATCATTGGATATTTTGAATTAGAAATAAGCCCATATATATAAATCAATAGCCATCGTGTAAGCAAGCTTTTGCTTTACATAGGAAAGTACAACCAGAATGTCATGGGTTCAAGCCCAACTCTAGAGACTTCAGTCTATAATTAGCCTGGCATTTCAGCACAAGATTTTGTGAATGACCTATTAAACTAAGACCATGTCTGCCCCCGAAGATGCATGCAAAGACCTCATTGCATGAACAGAATAAGTCTAGGGAGCTTTCCTTGTCTTCACAAAAAGAGGTTTTCTTCAGCTGACACCCAAGTCAGACCATGTGATCACTATTTTGTTGTGGGGCTTTGCTATGTGGCAACTGACTGCAGATTTTTTGTCACATTCAACCAATGTGTTACAATTATAACATGTATAAGATTGTCATGTTTTGGGACTATTCCTTTAAATTTAGGGTAAAACTAGTGGGTTTATGTGACCTGTTCAAGTCTGCCTGACAGCAAACCTAAGTAGTGTGATTGTTGGAAATTAAAGCATACCCAGACTGTCACTGTTGGAAGCAAGTGCAAGGTAGTTGTCAAAATTTTGTTTTTCAGATTTCTTTTGAGATCTTTTTCAAGGTTTTTGTTATTCTGGCGGCTCCTTTTCATTTTTTTGGAGCTGTATTTGTTTTTTGAGGACTACTTTTTCATTCTCACTAGCTCATTGATTCAGTGATACTGTCATGTAGTAACAATAATTTCTGGATTTGTATTTATATATGGGGTTTTGGACTCGCACATAAGCGGAATTAGAATTATGATACATTTTTTCCAGGTAGTTACAACCCCATTTACTGCAGCTTGGATTTCAATGTTAACTTTAAATTTAACAATTGATAGTGTTTATTACACAAGGATCCGCTACATTTTTCAAAATATCATAGCTCCTGAATTTATGCAGCCTGATACTTGACATTCCACATTCATTTTCACGGACTGCATGATTTGAAATTTCCTTGGATCCCAGTTAACTGAGTATCCTTGGCTGACTGAAAACTGATCGTTCCCATTTGCAGCCTTCCTCTCCCCAAGCTTTGCAATCTCCTTCTCACACCATATTCCTCGCAGCCTCCTTCTACCCCAAAAAACCCTCTAGGAGCCTCTTTCTCTCCTTACCCCTTTTCCAGACTCCAACATCTCCCAAGAGGCCTCCTTCTCCCTTCTGCAAACACCTCTGCCAACTCCTGACCTTTGATTGGCAACCCAGGTCCCAACAGCTGGAATGCAAAAATCCATTTAAAAGACCCTTCCAGCATCAGAGAAAAGGCCACCCACCTCAGACAAGGGCAGCTGTCAACAGCACCCCTGACACTCACAAGCCCATCCTCTCAGTGGTACCCTCCAGCTCTCAGTACCTCCCACTCCCACCTCTTAATGCCACATCTTGTTCTTGGCAACACTCAGGCTCTCAGCCCTCACCATGTGCTCTGGCTCTGGGTATCCCCATGAGTCTCGATAGCCTCCAGCTTTTGGTGACTCTCTGGCTCTCAATGTTCCTCCTGACTATCAATGCCCTCCAACTCTTGGGACCTCTTCATTGTGCCTTCACACCATACCCCCTCAATCTCGCCTGATCTCACCATATCTGACCCTCTGGCCCCACCCCTCTGGCTCTACCCTTCCGCAAAAGATGTTCACATGACAATACATTGAATACCAGCACTGATAGTGCTAATTAGTTGCTGCTCGTCCAATCACTGGTAGTTTCTTTCACAGGTTTTTCACAGATAGAGTCACTGATGAGAGACCCAGCTTGTCATTGCAGGAATGGTGCCTCACCATTTCTTTCCATTCTATTAACAGAGGCAGCTCCTGCTTGAATGGACATTTCCTATGAATGAATTTTCCCAGCTGATTTGTGGACTTTCTGGATTGAATCTGCCCAACACCTCTGTGCATTTTGAGCATTGGTGCAAGGTGCTTAAGATTCAAGAAGATAGCAGTATCTGTGTGCTAACAGTGGATATGTGAGTTTCCAAAGTCCCATAAGTGTTGAAACACTTAAACTGTCCATTTATTTCCAAGGTGAAGGAGGCTGGATAGGCTGGGACTTTTTTCACTGGAGTGTAGGAGGTTGAGAGGTGACCTTACAGAAGTTTATAAAATAATGAGGAGTATAGATAGAGTTAATGGTGGTTGTCTCTTTCCAAGGATTGAGGATTTCAAGACAAGGGGGCACATTTTTAAGGTGAGAGAAGATAGATTTAAAAAAGTCATGGGGGCAATTTTTTACACAGTGCCTGGTTCACGTGTAGAATGAACTTCCTGAGGAACTGGTGGATGTGGATACAATTACAATGTTTACAAAAAGCACGTGAATAAGAAAGGTTTGGAGAGATATGGGCCAGAAGCAGGCAGGTTGGACTAGTTTAGTTTGGGATTATGTTCCGCATGGACTGGTTGGATCAAAGTATCTGTTTCTGTGCTGTATGACTCAATAGCTGTATGACTCAAGGATAGCTAATTAGCATCTCTACCTGAACAAAGCATACGTGATTCACATTACTATATTGATGGACTTTGATAGGGCAGGGAACAGAAGAAAACCATTTTGATCCTGGATTATGTGCTTTCCTAAAAATATGGTTGAATATCACAGGTTAGTCTGCCAAGTTCCAGAAGATACAAAGAGAATCTAGATGTCAAAAGTTCAGAATGCAAGTGGAAACTCTCACTCTGATTGCAAAGACTGAACATATGAAAGCTTAAATTATGCAAGAAAATTGGCGTAGCTTGTTCAGAATAGGGATTCACAAACATTGGGTAGCAACACCCCAATGGTGACGTGAGAAGAGGCTGGGTTGTGAACTCCAAGGCAGCAATGGCTTCTGAGATCAGACTGAATGCTAACAGGTGGGAAGTCCTTTCAAAAACCCTGACATGTTTTCTTTTGGTAGTACAGTCTCATGGGGCGACCTTTGAGGATGGATTGCTGCTGTATAAAAAAAGCAGGTGGAAAACTAGATGTTTGCAGTTACACAACTTCCCACCTTTTGAACCTCCACTCTTCATAAATCTACCTCACCCCCACTGGTTCCACAAATCTTTACAGCTCTAACCTCCTATCCACACTCCATCTGGCGCTAAGATTATTTTCAAGCTTTAAGCAAGATCACGGGAAAAAAATGGTTTGAGAAGATCACATTAGAGGCAAGGTCTCCAGAATTACTTTCACAGTGGAAGACAGTTCTGGGACTGAGAAAGGAAAAGAAGTAAGCCCTTAGGATCTCAGAATAATTTTGCACTTATTTTGAGAAAATTGACTGTCTATTTAAAGGACATAATACCATATATCTCTGTGTTTTGTTTTTCAGTAATTCTTTTCATCTTTTGTTAAACATTCCAAAACCTGCAATTTCATTGTATCATCGTTGCAGCTATTAATCGAGGTTTGGAGTCCTTGTTGAAAGTGATCAGTCGCAACAGAGGTTCAACAAGTGGCTACATTTATAGTTTATTTATTTGATTGTAAATTGCTTTAATACATCGTATTCCAATGAGCCCAGGATGCTAAATGCAATATTTCACAAAAATCGCACACATCAGACAAACTTTGAAATGAGAAAGTAACTGTTTTGTCTCGTGTGAAACTGTCCTAGTATTTCCTTTGTAGACTGACAGCACCTAGAGCTGGATTATACATCGACCTGCTTGAATTAGCAGGAACTTGAGCTGGCTGCAGTGTGTAGGCTGCAGATCAGTGTGAAAATTGCCAGAATAATAGGACAGCAGCCTTTCTTCCCTGTGCCACTTTCCGTGGAGTATAAGTAAGGAGCAGGAGCTTGTTTGGGAAAAGGTATTTCTCGAGCACTGCCTTCTGTACTCTCTGGGGGTGCTGGCACCTTCCTGTCAATCAGAGGAGGCTAAGGCGCGGCCCTTTAAAAGCGGCCACCTCAGAAAAGCTTCTCATTTCGATCGGGAGGTTTTAATGATCTCGGGCAGCTGTTTGCGTTTTTCCTTTTTGCCCATGGTTGCTTGCTGGCCACGCTTCTCGTGAGTGCGGGGAATGTTTTACGCGGATATCCTGAAAGAAAACCGACGCCAGCAAATGGATATCCGAGAGGCTGCCTCTCTCCGTCAGCAGAGGCGGATGAAACAAGCTGTACAGTTCATCCATAAAGATTCGGCGGATCTACTGCCTCTGGATGGTCTCAAGAAACTGGGAACCTCCAAAGAAACCGTAAGTGCCTGTCTAACGTTAGGAAAGCACACATTCGCTGTGTAACCAGTAAGGGGATGTTATTGTCCATCAATAGTCATCCTGTTGCTGGTATTTTTCACAATATGTGGACGGTATGGAGAGGATTTTACACTCCATAAGCACTTGAAGTGGCCTAAACAACGATATTTCTCCATTTCTCCGGGCGGAAAATTCACAAGTAGTCCTGTGAGGTGCTGGCATAGTATTAAATGTAGATCTTAATAAAATTCAATTTAAAATCGTTTTCTGTGATTCGTTGTTTGAGTTCTGAAATATAAGAAGTCTCTGAACCACTGGTTTTACTAAATCAACTTCTCCCATTTCGCACATTTTTTTTTCAGCAGCGCGCGTCATTTAGGAAAGGAACAAACCGTAATACATCCACTTCAGTAGCGATCAGATTCTCGATTCGAAAGCCCTCTCATATTTAAAGTGTTCGTTACGGTATGGGGGCGGTGGTGGAACTTCATTTGGGATAAACTAAATATTAGCTGATCTATTGATGCACTGACGGTGACTATTTTCTTTTGAATATTCTAGAAATACTCGCTATTGTATATGTCCCAGTGTTTATTCTACACTTTGGATGAGTTCAGTTGCTGTCCAGTGCTGAATTTCACTGCTAAATATCGGCAGAGGTTTAGAACGGGCGGCCAATTCAATGTTAACCGGTTTACATTATCACCAGAAATTAAAATTACGCCAATGTGTGCAAGAATTGATCTGACGGGGACAGAAACCGGGCGTCACTCACAGCCACCATTACACCAATCAGCCGGGGGCGTTTTCCTGAGGGAAGTGAGTAAGGATCGTGCTCAGAACAGGGTCGAGCAAACCGACCCACTCTTTAAAGACACAACCCTTTTAGCGTTCATATCGTGAAAAATTCTGGAACTACAATTTTATATATGGAAACATTACAGTTTAATATGTGACCTATGGATGTGAAACCGAGTCGGTTTAAGATTATTCTCAGAATGTCAATTCGGATTTCATATTCGGTTGACAACTCATTTATATATGTGTGGTTTGCCCAGGTAATTTTGGATAAATTTTAATTTTTTAGCACATGACATCTATTTATTTGCAAAGCTGAAGACATTTTAATTATTGAGTCACGCCACACAATGTAAATTCCAGTTTTGTAGCGGGTTAGTTCCAGTGTTAGAATAACTGTAATTGGGAAGTTTAGTCCTCATAATTTCAGAACCCATAGACCATACATTTAGAATTTCCCAAACTACCTTTTTGGCTTACCTCGTTTCCGGGCAAAATGATACATGCATGATAGATTAAGGATTATTTTATGTGAAACGACTTGCCTCAGCATTTTAACCGGCACAAATTTAAAACAATCGCAAAAGGGGAATGTTAGATCACCAATATTCTTCAGACAGGATGGACGGAATGCGGAATGTTCTGCCACAAATCCTTGTTGAAGTAAAATCCATCACTTTTATTAAATAGAAGAATAAATTTAAATGGAATTAACGGACAACGAGGACAGTTTTTTTGTGCACTTGAAGGGTTAAATGACTTGTTTCTTTGTGATAACGTTCTATGAAAACATTCCATATTTTTGCCGAAGCAGGCAAGCCCTACGCCCTTTTCCTTATTCGAATGGCTTTACAAGTTTCAATTTAGGAGGTCAAAGGCAATAGTGATGCTCGCGTACATCGCTCACAATTGCCAAAAATGTATTTGGGCTTCCGAGCTGCTGCACCCTGGTTGTTGATCCAGCACGATGCCCGTACATCTGTGCCACGTGTGAATGGGACAGGGAATGGTGAGGTTCTTTGACCAATCAAATTAAAGAAACCTCGCTGAAGCAAGTACCCCACGTTCACTCTATAGCATGTTTCTCAATGCTGGAACTATCAATGATAACCCTGTACAAGAGCAGGCTATCTCTGATAGCAACTTCAAGATTTCGTTGTGTAACCGCGCATGCGAACACCAGAAGTAGCTTTCTGATGTCATAATAACAGCGAGTGGTATTAGCCTCGCTTAGTATCAATGCACAATTTGGGAAAATATTCACCTCAAGTGTTTTTTCTTCAACACTTTCTTTCCTTGGCTAGGAAAAGTGACAATTAGTTTTAGCCTATACCGGTAATTTAGTCTAAGCGAAAGAATGTATTGGACTCGTCGTTGTTACCTGTCACAGTCGAATGTTGAAGCATCCTTTAAATCAGCAAAATTGTTTCGCATGATAATTCTCGATAAATACTAAGGATGTCAATGTTATTGTTCTTACATGACTTTATTGTATTCTTAAACATTGTCTTTTTAGCAACCACATAACATTTTGCAGAGACGTTTACTAGAAACCAACTTGTCAAAATTCCGAGCCAACAATCGAGAGACATGGCCTTCTAATAATTCATTTCCAGTTCAGAACATAATCTTTCATCAAACTAAACAAGAACATCACAAAATAACACAGGAAGAGGACCTAATATTCGTGCGTTGCAAGGTAATGGCCAGTTCCTTACAAAGAGTATAACATAATTCAACCAAAATGTCTAAACTTGATGCCATCTGTAGAAATGGTTATATTTTTGTTTAATTTACATCAATGTGTAAAGATAACTAGATAAACCACATTTTTCATTTTTAAAATAATGCTTGAAATTCTATTGCAGAGTATGTTGGTGCATTTGCATCATTGATCCTTGTGTATATATCAAAGGTCTGATTTGTAGCATCCATTTATTCAATCCTCATTTTATAAGTTATTGCATAAATTGTTTTCATGTCTGCTTGGTAGTAACAGTAAGGTCTACCTACTGGAAATAACCACATTTAGAACTGAAGGGATTAGTGAAGAAAACTCAAACAAAAAAAAAAGCTGGAAAAACTCAGCAGGTTGGCTAAATCTGTAGAGAGAAACTGAGTTCAGTTCTGATGAAAGATCTGTGACCTGAAACATTAACTCTAATTCTCTTCACAGATGCTGCCTGATCTGCTGAATTTTCCTAGTTTCTTATTTCAGATTTCCTGCACTTGCAGTATTTTACTCTTACAAGGAAGAAAACTCAATGGGTAAAGATGATATATTAGAGTAACAATAGGACATACTTCATACAGTGTCACCAAAACGCTCAAGTCCCAGTGTTTAAATACTAAGTAAAATTCTGCCTGACCAAAATTTGTTACAATCTCACATAAGAACTAAGAACTAGGGGCAGGAATTGGCAATTCTGTCCAAAGAGCCTGCTGTGCCACTTAAACTAATCTTATCTTAGTCTCAGTCTACTTTCTTGATTGCTCCTCATAATCCTTTAAACTATTATTAATTAAAAATCTGCCTATCTCCTCCTTGAATTTATTCAGTGTCCTCGAGCCACTCATACTCTGGAATGCTAAATTCTATAAATTCATGACCCTTTGAGAGATGTAAATTCTGCTCATGTCTATTTAAATCTGCCACCACTTAGCCTAATACTACGGCCTCTCATTCTAGACTGCCCCCAGAAAAGGAAACATCCACTTTTTATCTACTTTTCAATCTCCTTTAGCATTTTACATACATCAATTGGATCTCCTCTCATTCTTCTATTCTTTAGTGTGCATTGGCCTAAATAGCTCAATCTCTCCTCATAAGCCAAGCTTTTCATCTCTGGATTGATCTCATCAATATTCTTTGAACTGGCTCAGTGTAATTGCATTTTTCCTCAAGTAAGGGGACCAAAACTTCTTGCAGTACTCCAGATGTGGTCTCACCAATTCCTGGTACACTTGCAACAACACTTCTGCAATTTGGTATTCCATTCCTCCAGCAATCAATACCAAAAATTCATAAACCCTCCTTATTATCTGCTATACCTGCATACTAGATTTTGCAACTCATGCACAAGGACACCCAGATCCCTCTGCTCCAAAGCATTTTGCAGTTTCTCTCCATTTAGATAATACATTGTCTTTTTATTCTTCGGACTAAAGTGGATAACCGGACACTCATCTGTGTTATTCACCTAACTTATCCTAAATGTAAATTTCTTATTTCTTCATAGCAACTTGTTTACATGCCTATTTTTGTGTCATCTGAAAATTTGGCTACAGCACATTATATTCCTACATCCAGATCATTAATATAGGTTGTAAACAGTTGGGGACCAAGGACTGAATCCTGTGGCACCCCACTACATACAGCTTGCTGACCAGAAAAGGATCCCTTTCTCCTGACTGTCTGCTTTCTGTTGGTTAGCCAATCCTCTACTCAAACTAAAGTACTAGCCCAACACCATCTGATCTTACTTTGTGTATTAACCTTTTGTGCTGCACCTTATCAAATGCCTTTTGGAAGTCCAGATATGCTACATCTGCAGCAGTGGTTTAAGTAGGTGTACTGTGCTGCAAGGTGAGAAGTGTGCCACGAAATTTTCACATCCATGCTTCCAATTTCCTCTGGAATCTCGGTATCTATTATTAAAGGTAGTCTCTGCTGACATTCATCATGGTGCATGCACAGAATGGAAATCGACTCAGTTACATAGCATATGTGCTGAAAAGGTTGACAACCACTTCAAAAATAAATGCTGATTCTGACATGTTTCACTCACTAGTTGTGGCAGATGAATCCACCCCTCTGAATTAACTTGACAGAGTCATAGAATAGAGTCATACAGCACAGAAACAGATGTTTCAGTCCAACATGTCCATGCCGACCAGGTTTCCCAAATTAAACAAGTTCCATTTATCTGTGTTTGGCCCATATCCATCTTGGTATCCCATCACCAAGTCATCCTTTATTTACACATTGAGAGCCCTTGACACTGATCCAGCTCCCTCAGCCAGCTCTCAGAGTGAACAGAACCTCTGACATTCCTGACTTTTCTGTCAGCCAGGGCTCCCTGATTTGACCAGTTTAACAGCCCCAATCAGGGAACTCATATTCTATGAGGTCCACCTGGCTGAGTTCATTACAATCAGTACATCTCTCCCCCTCTGAGTCCAAGGACATAGACGGTTTTTATTTTTGCAGTTCCTCCTGGGGTGTTTTAGCACCAGGTCAGGTTCCTCCAACTCTGCCTCTGATACAGACAGCATGTAACACACAGTAGTTTGCCTCCTGCACCTAAAGTGTCTAGGAAGAAATTCATTCTCCTCTTCAGGCAGCAAAGGCGTCAAGGCAGTGACATCTGCCATCCCCATCTCAGATTCTGAAGTATCCTCAATACTTGATGGAGAAAGAAAACCCACAGGTACCAGAACAGTCAGAAAGGCTTATCAATGAGCTAGGCACATTTTGCTCCCACACTGTTTGTGAGTTTGCAACTTTCAAATGGCCCATATGCTTGTTCAGGACGGTAACACCTACCCAAACTTTATATGTCACTGCACCTGACCTCGCATCGACCATAACTCTTAACCATGCAGGGCCATTCCCATGGTTCCTACACAAAACTTCGTCCCCTGAAGTAAACTGTCTCTCGCTTAGCAAAGTCTAGTGTCTGGCATTGGCACTCCTGATGCTGTTTCACCCTCCCACCTGGGAAGATCAGATTTAACTTGGTGCAGAGTCTTCTCCTCATTAGAAACTCTGCCAGAGCTATCCCTGTAGTTGCATGTGGGGTGGTCCTATAATCAAATAGGAACCAGGACAGTTTGGAATCTAAAGAAGCTGTAGGCTGCTTCTTCAAGTCTGCCTTCAAAGTTTGGACTGGTCTTTCTGCCAGATCAATGGCTAATTGATGGTATGGAGCTGTCCTTATGTGTCAAATGCCTTGCAGTACTTTAGGAAATGCTCAAATTCTCTGCTTGTAAATGAAGGCCCATTATCTGTGATCAACACTTGTGGGAGTCCATGTATTGCAGAAGAAGGCTGTGGTTTTTCTATCGTCATCCCTGTGTTTGATGAATAAACTTTATACACATCCAGCATCCACAATAACTAAAAACATTGAGGCCATGAGAGGACCTGCATAATCGACGTGTGAGCGAGTGCAAGGTTTACCTGCCATCCCACAAATGTGTGGGAGCTGCTCTTAGGAATTTTTATTCTTGTTGGCACTATGGGCACTGCCCCACCAATGCCCCTATGTCTGGATCCAATCCTGGCCAGCAGACATAACTTCTTGCCAACATCTTCATTTTGGAAACCCCTGGATGACCCTGGTGGAGTTCAGCCAGTATCTGATGGTAACTTTTGCTCAGGACAATCACTCCTGCTCCTCATAATAATATGCCGTCTTCTTTAATAATCTGGTCTCTCCAGGTCGAAAAAGATTCTTGTTGTAACAGCCCTTTGGTTTCCCCTGTCACCACCAGCTGTTTCAGGTTTGCCAGGACCGTATCTTTCTGTGTCCAAAGTCTGATATTGTCAGCTGTGACTCGAAGTGTGTCCAGAAAATTTAAAACCATTGCAGACCCTTCCAGTGGCGGTAGCACTGGTGGTGTATCTGACAAAAGGAGGTGGCTCAACACATCTGCATTTGCCACTTGGCCACCTGGATTGTGCTCCAACTTGTAATTATACGGAGTTAGTAGTAGAGTCCATCACTGAATTTGGCCTGAAGCTATGCGTGGACTGTCTTCTCCTCTTTAAGTAAACCTAGCATGGGTTTGTGGTCTGTTATTATTATAAATTTATGATGACAGTTTCCTTTCCTAAAGGACATTAGTGAACCAAATGGGTTTTTTGAACAATCAACAATGGTTTCACCATATTTTAAAAAATTGAATTCCACCATCTGCCATCTAATGATGACCATGAATCCATTGCCGATTGTCAGAAAAACCCATCTGGTTCATTAATGTCCTTTAGGGCAGGAAACTCCTTACCTGGTCTGGCCTACATGTGACTCCAGACCCACAGCAATGTGGTTGATTCTCAACCGCCCTCTGGGCAATTAGGGATGGGTAATAAATGCTGCCTACCCAGCAAAGCCCTCATCCCGTTAATGAATAAAGGATAAAGGATAATGAATTTTATGTCCATAAAAGGTATTGGTGGACTTTCCATTGCATGCACTCTCACGGATACAGGCCTATGAGTTATCTTACTCAATTTAGGTTCAGTGAGACCCTTTTGCTGTCCCGAGTACACATACTGGCAATAACTACAATGACTTGCCTGCCCAGATCCTGAAGAAAATTTTAACTATTTGGCTGAGGTTTGGCTCTGTTTTGGGATTTTGCTGTGGACTAACCTAGAGTCCCTCTGTTCAGGATATTTCCTCAGTGAGGCCATGCAATTGCCTTCACTCATGTAATGTTACCTAAACACAGTCAGACTGGCGAGGGTGTCTACTTCCATCAGAATGTAATGCAACTCACATGCTCCACTTGCCGCATTTTCCAATGATAAAGCCAGTTGTAATGCCTGTTTGAAGTCCACTTGGGCTACAGGTAGTAGGTGCTTTTGCATGATTACATCATTAAACCCACATACCAAACCGTATCGCAGCACTTCATTAAGGGTTAAACCAAAGTCACATGCCTCTGCCAGTCATCTTAACCTAGTCAAAAATCCCCACATGGATTCCCCTGTTTCTCAAATTCCTGAGAAAAACCAATAGCATCTGAGAATTAGAGGAGGTTTGGGGTCATAATATTCCTTAACTAAATCCGTCAACTCTTGAAAGGTTTCAATATCTGGTGCTTCAGGGAAAAATTATGCCCCTAATAACCAAAAAAGCTGTGGGTCCACAAGCTGTCAGGAGAATTACTCGTTGCTTTTCATCTGCCCCAATATCATTTACCCTGAATAAAATATCACATTCTTTCCACATACTGGGTCCAGTCTTCGAAGGTAGGATCAAACAAGTCAAACTTCCCAAATAACAGCATGATGCCAGAAATTCTTACCCCAACTCAAAGACTATTGTTAGCAACTTACTTCAGGAGCAAATCCCACTCTCGTTGCCTCTGAAATAACTCCACAGAGGCCAGTAGCCCATCATCAAGTCACCCGTTATTTACATGTGGAGAGTCCTGGACACTGATCCAGCTCCCTCAGAGCCATCTCTCAGAGTAAACAGATGTCTAACACACCTGTTCTTACCCATCAGCCAGAACTCTCTGGTTGGACCAGATTAACAGCCCCAGTCAGGGAACTCATATTCTATGACATCTACATGGCTCACCTTGTAACAATCACTATACCCTCTGCTATAAAACCTTGAGTACTCTTGATCTACAATTTAGCAAGATTGTTATAACACTGTTAACACTGTTATTACTCACCAAACTGCTGGTCTATGTTGCAGGCCATGTCTACATGCAGTTCCATAGTAACAAATACAATTTTAAATGCATCTCGGAAAATTCTCAGTCTTTTTTGTTTCATTTTTTAAGTGTGCTGGAAGAGAGATGAAAGTGCGAATTGACACTGGCTCTCGATATAATCTCATCTCATCTGCTTGTGTGGATAAACTAGGGTAGGTAACGCTACAGCACTAAAATGTCTCTCATCCAGTGTGATACTGATTAAGTTTGCAGACACTAAACTCTGTTTTATCAGTCAGAACAGCGATTTCTTTCTCACATGATGAGATGGGACTAGCTTTAGTGTGAATTTACAGACATCAGTGCAGATGAATGTAATAATGAGACATACGGGCTGAAGGCAAATAACTCGAGCTGAAGTCCATCTTTCAAAACACATTTAAAGGAGCAATTCCATCAACAGTGCCTCAAAAATAATATTCTACATTTGCTAACTCTATTTAGGAGGACATAATGGAACTTGTGATAAATTCCTGTGGTGAAATAACATTCAGAAAATTAAAAATAAAATAGTTATTACAAACACTGGGGGAAAGTGAATGGAAACTGACAACTATCTGCTGTAGCATATGTTTCATTAAGTGATCAATACAGCATGATAATGCAATTTGTTGATTTTGATTTTTCCATGAACGACTTTAGTAGAAAATTGGTATTCCACTTCACAACATTAATTAATTTAACAGTAAATCAAAGTGGAAAATGGAGTGAGGAGAGATTGGACAAACTTGAGAAGAACTTTGACAAACTCGTTTATTTTCATTTGAACATTGGAGGCCGAGGTGCGACCTGATAGAGGTTTGCAAAATTATGAGATGCATGGATACAGTGGATAATCATTGTCTTTTTCCTGGGTAGAAATGTCAATTACTGGGGGACATAGGTTTAAGGTAAAAGCAGCAAAGTTGAAAGGAGATATGAGAGGCATTTTTTTTACACAGAGGGTGGTAAGTGGCTGGAATTTGCTGTCTGAGGAGGTGGTGGAGATGGATACAATAGCAACTTTTAAAAGGCACCTTAACAGATACATGAATAAGCATGGAATAGAGGTACATGGACTACGTAGAGTGAAAAGCTTTTTCCATTAGAAAGGCATCACGTGTTGGTGCAGGCTTGGTGGGCCGAGGAGCCTGTTCCTGTGCTGTACTGTTCTTTGTTCTTTATAATGGCCAAAGTATGAGTGGGAACCTGTTATGTTGTAATTTACTGTACTTATATGATTTCCTAAAGAAAAAATTAAGGCATAAAGGCAAAGGGCAGTGAAATAGGATGCACCCAAATTTCATAACAGTAAAAGAGATGCAATTAACCATAAAATAATTATCTAGCTGCTGCCAACCTTAGACAACTGAACACTATAGGATTATTCTAAACAAATTAGCCACAGAATATCTGGTCAGTTCCAAAAACTTTAGAACTTTCAATATCTCACTCCCAAATTTTTGCACAACTGCCCCTTAAAATTTTCCACGCCATCTGCCTCCTCTGCTTCATGTTCATTACTATCTCTGTTGACTAGTTACATTTAAACTCTTTCTTTCTTTCTTCTTTCATGGAATTTAAGTGTCACTAGCAAATTCAGCATTTATTGTTCATCTGTAATTGCTGTTGAAATGAATGGTTTACCAGGTCATTTCAGAAGGCAATTCAATGTCAACCCGTTACTGTGGATCTAAGCTAAATGTGAGTCAGACTTGGTAACAATTGTAGATTTCCTTCCCCAAAATGAATCAGATGTGACATGACAATCAATGATGTTTGCACAGTCCTCAATGCCGAGACCACCTTTCAGTTCCAGATTTTTCACTGAATGAGTTTAAATTCTACAAGCTGCTGTGGGGAGTTTGTGTATATTCTGTCTCTAAGCTTGAGGTTATGTTTGTTGAGTACAGAGTTTGCAATGATCTTAAACATTATTGGATCAATAGAGTCATAGAGTCATAGAGATATACAGCACGGAATAGACCCTTCGGTCCAACTTGTCCATGGCAACTAGATTTCCTAAATAAATCCAATCCCATATGCCAGCATTTGGCCCATATCCCTCTAAACCTTTCCTAATCATGTACTCATCCAGAAGCCTTTTAAATGTTGCAATTGTACCCTCCTCCACCACTTCCTCTGGCAGCTCACTCCATACACACGCCACCTTCTGCATGAAGAAGTTGCCCCTTAGATCCCTTTTAAACCTTTTCCCTCTCATCTTAAACCTACGCCCTCTAGGACTCCCCTGCCCTCGGGAAAAGGCCTTGTCTATTTATCCAATCCATGCCCCTCTGATTTTATAAAGCTCTATAAGGTCACTTCTCAGCCTCCAATGCTCCAGGGAAAATAACCCCAGTCTATTCCGCCTCTCCCTGTAGCTCAAACTCTCCAACCTTGGCAACATCCTTGTCAATCTTTTATGAACCCTTTCAAGTTTCACAACATCCTTCCTACAGCAGGGAGACCAGAACTGCACTTGCAATAGTGGCCTAACCAATGTCCTGTACAGCTGCAATATGACTTCCTAACTCCTATATTCAAAGCACTGACCAATCAAGGCAAGCATACCCAACGCCTTCTTCACTATCCTTCCTACCTGGGACTCCGCTTTCAAGAAACTTTGAACCTGCACTCCAAGATCTCTTTGTTTAGCAACACTTCCCAGGACCTTACCATTAAGTGTATAGGTCCTGCCCCAATTTGCATTTCCAAAATTCAGCACCTAACATTTATTTAAATTAAACTCCATCTGCCATTCGTCATCCAATTTTGTCCCTTAAGAATCTTGAATATTGTTTTTGCCAAGTCTTCACTTTGCCAACTAAACTACCTCAGTTCTCTAATCTCCATTCAATGTCCATATGTCTTAATGTAAGTATCAACTCAGTTTTAGTTTGCTGCACTCCTTCCAAACAGAACAAAAATCCTGATAGTACAGAACTTGGATATTGCAAGACAAGTTGCTGAAGCTTTATGTCTTGCAATCACCAGGCCAACTTTCAAATGATTACAATAATTTATGCTACAGGAGAAAATTATATTGATTGGGTGATAAGTCAACACACTTTTTAAGTGTTGACATGGAGAAGGCAATCGGGAATTATAAAGCACCCCAAATTCCTGGCTGATTCAAAATTGGCGCAAAGTTTAAACATATTCCTTTTGTTTGTAGAGAACAGATCCCTGCGTATGAATGGATGTTACTTCCAAAATGTTAACAGTTTGTTACAAGTTTGATTGATGATTTTAAATTGTTAGTGTAGCTATTAGCACACAGGATTGTTCAACAAGTACTACTCAATCACAGAAGCACATGTAATGGTGCAGTTTTGTGAATTTCAAGAATGGGCTGGTTGAGTACTATCTATAATGAACAGCCAAAGGAACACACTGATTCAATAAGCCAATTGTTGAGACCTGCAGCCTATGTACGTGGCATTTCACCAATACTGAAATTCATACGTAGAGTTTCTCAATTCTGCAGTCTTTTTGGACTGACCTTTAGCAGCATCCTGTCAGTAGAAAGTACCACCAATATGGCCATTGCATATTAACACTATGTAATATCTTGCTCAGCCTGTTATTCAAAATTTTGAGATGCTTTGTCTTGCTGGGGTGATTTGAAATATATCGGGTACCTTTTGGATTCAAAAGTGGTGATCTTTGCCCAGTTACAAATATGATTGATACACAGCAATCAGTGATCTGATCATGATAGCCATTGTTCTGCAGGATAGCTTTGTTTAGTTCTGTTTCAGCAGATGGTGAGGGCCTGACTTAGGAGATTGTTGATAAAGGCAATTTTATATTGTCTAAATTGTCTGTAATCTAAACTAAACAAATCACAAAAACCCTGCAAATGTTATCCAACTCTCATTTTCAAAATTACTATTTTGAAAGCAAACCAAAAATGCCTTACATTTATAGGTTGAAAGAACTTGTGAAAACAGAGAAGGATGACATTGAAAAAAATGGAATGCCATTTATTTCAAAGGTCACAGGACAAATAGAAAATGTTGGAATTACTTTAGGACAACTCAATATTGAATGTTCAGCAGCCGTAGTAGGTACGTTTTCAAACTTACTTTATACATAATTTCTCATGTGATTCTACATTTTACCGCTTTGTCTTAGATTTATATGGAATATATTCTTTCTACACCTCCAAGCAAAGATTATAGCAGATTTTTAGTATATAAGTAACAGTTTGGTTTCAAGATAAGTTGACAAATAATGACATAAATATTAAATTCAATTTATATACCTTTTAGGAATTGAATGTTCATCCAGCTGACCCAGAGACTGCCTTAATATTCTATAGCTCTGCATGTATACACTCCATATTAATACACACAAATTATGAAAACATGAAATGCACATTCTTTTGTATAAGGTGATGAGTGTCAGGGGAATCAAATGAATGGGAAGGTGGATATTTGTCAGTCTTCTATTACAGAGTTTGTATTCTGTTATCTAACTCAGGTGGGTATGTAGCACTCCAGAGCAGGACAAGTCAACTGGGCCTACTGGGTAACTGAAGAACTAAACCTATTACTTAGAACTGGAACTTCAATTGGCTCTAGCTAACTCTGCAAATCAATGACCAACAAGTTTATGCCAGTCAAGCTGAAGGAAGCTTAACATCACTCTCTGTTAGAAAGGCGCACTATTTTAGCTGATAATAAGAACATAACAATTAGGAGCAGGAGTAGGCAATTCAGCTCCTCGAGTCTGCTCTGCCATTTGATATGATCATTGCTGATTTCTGTCTGTCCTGGGCCTCTTTCAGTGCCACAATAACGCCACATGCAAACTGGAGGAACAACACCTCATATTCCGTCTCGGGAGCCTACAGCCCAATGGCCTGAATGTAGAAATCACCAGTTTCAAAATTCCCACCCCCTCGCCCGGCCTCATGCCATGTCCAACCCTCTCACTCATCCTCACTTTCTTGACCTGACACTATCTGCCCATCATTTTCCCCACCTATCCACCCCACTCTTCCCACTGACCAGTCTCCACCACACCCTACCTGCATCCACCTATCTGCATCCATCCCACCTACCTTCACCCAGCCCCACCCCTCCTCCCTCTATTTATTTCCCAGCTCCCTTCACCCTCCCCAGTCCTGATGAAGGGTCCTGACCTGAAACGTCAACTCTCCTGCTCCTCTGATGCTGCCAGACCTGCTGTGTTCCTCCAGCTCCACACTGTATTGACTGATGACTGATTTAATCTTAGCCTCAACTCCATTTTCCTGCCTGGTCTCCATAACTTTTCAACTCATTACTAATTAAAAATCTGTCTACCTCCTCCCGAAATTTACTCAATATCCTAGTATCCAAAATACTTTGGGTATTGAATTCCACAAATTCATAACCTTATGAGAGAAGTAATTTCTCTTAATTTTTTTTTAAAATCTGCTACCCACTGTCCTAATAATTATGACCTCTCATTGTGGATTGTCTCACATGAGGGAACATCCTTTCTACATCTATTTTGTCAATCCCCTTAGCATCTTGTATCCTCAGTTAGAACTTCTATAGTTAATACTACAGGAAAAAAGACTGTAATATTCTGCTCAGATTGAACTTGAACTTTTAAATTGAATTGCTGTTTCCTTAAGGGATCAGTGGTATGGTACAGAGCAATGTAGTCCAAAAATTCCAGTTGTTCATTCTTGGTTTATACAAAAGCAGCTATTGCAACCATGTTATCAACAAATATGTTGCACTTGATTTGAAGGTTATTCTTGTGGTGAGAGGTGGGATTAGTAAAGGTCCTGCTTTTGATCAATGACTCTTGATGGAAACATGTGAAAGTTAGTTAGGGAAGGTAGAGGTTTGAATATTATGCTCCCAACCACTCACTAACTAATCTCGCTCATGAAAAATGGCCCTTTATGTGAGGTATTGAATAGCCACCAGCGATTGTGAAATAATACTTTCCAGAAAGGATACCTAGTAAGAGATAGTTAAAGAGGAAAACGCTGTAATCAATAATTTCTTTAAACCACCTCACCCTGAAACACTACAGAAATCATTTTCATGCCTAGAAGCTAATTCAATGTAAGTTTCTGCTTCAAATTAAAATGTTTTCTTCTCTTTACTATATATATACTTTACACATTTTAAAGTGCAGAAACCTACCTCACTGATTTAATTTATTGTAGTTACATGTACCTAAGCATAGTGAAAAGCTTTGTTTTGCAAACAGTACAGGCAGACCATAACAAACAAGGACAGACCGATAGTAGGGCTTCACAGGAGGTGCACAAAACAAGAACAACATTAGCAAGATCAACAATTATTTGAGATTAGAGAGGTCCATTCGGCAGTCTAATAATAGCAGGGAAGAAGCTGTTCTTGAACCTGCTGACATGTGTGTTCAAGCTTCTGTATCCTCTGTGTGATATTGAGCAGTATAACATTTAATTTAGTATGATAACATTGGTTGAAATCAATTAATTGTTATGATGTTGCTGTGAGACAATTCACATTGAATTATTTTCCTTCTTGACAGATGATGACAAAAATACACTTTCCCTTGGGTTACAGACATTGAGGTCTTTGAAGGTAAAATGTCATAATTCATTTTCTTGTGGGTTTATATGAGACATTTTGGGCAGGATTTTTCTGTGGGTTCAAAGCACCGACATTGAGGTAAATGGGAGTCTTGAGTCCACATTTGCTGGTAGCTACTTTCCTGGAAATGGATTTCTAATCAGACGGTCAGTAGCTCTGAAGTCTTGACAGCTCAACCAGGACATGTTGATGTTACTGAGGGAAATCATGGATTGAGGGGCCCAGCTACATTAGTGTGCTGTATCACAGAAGTTAAAAAAGGACAAAAATTTTGTAATGATGGGGTGGAAGGCTTGTAGGTGGAGAAACTGGCAAAATAGTGGGGTTTCCATGTTCGGTGTCAGGATGTCTCAGTGACACATTCCTAATGCCAGGTCATTTCCCAGATGTGGACCAGAATGCAGATTAGCTGTTGCTAATTGGAGGTAGGTGGGCAGTTAGATAATTAAGGACAATTTAGATGTCCAATAGAGACCATTTCGCCAACAGCAGAAAGGCTATCTCAGCAGTTGACCTGTGGCAGATTTGGGAGCATCTTGGGGCCAAAAGGCTCAAAATCACATTGAAGGGTCCAGAGAAGGAAAGGTCACTTCCACAGCCCCAACAAAACCCTCTCTTAAAAAATTTAATGAGCCTATCCTTTAAAGGTATCTCCACTTCAAGGCAGCCATGCGTTCTTAAACCTGACTCTGCAGTATATACCTGTCTTAATAGGAGTGCACAGGCTCTCGAACCTCTTCCTGCAATGCCTCACAGGGTGCTACAGATAGGTAAACTGTGGTTTGCCTAGATTACCCCTAATTAGGGCCTAAGCATGCAAATGAATTGCCTGCCTCCACTCAGTAGCAAGCTAATTTGTGTTCCTGACCTCTTCGGGTAACTTCCCTGCAGGAGAAATGCACTAGTGAGTTGTGCTGGTTTTTTTATCCCTATCACCCTGCCTTCAAGTTCACCATTTGGCATCCAGGAACTTGGTACCCACTGAGTCCTATTTGTATTGTCTACTCTATCCTTAGTGCATCATTGACATGGAAAAGCAATATTTAATCCTTGGAGAGAAGGAAAAAGACGAGATTCCATTTCTAGGAACTGACAACATTGAAATCTGGTAAGTGCAATAAAAGTAATATGTCTGCATAAAACTACATTGCATTATAGAGTTACACAGGTGTATAGCATGGAAGCAGACCCTTCACTCCAATCTGTCCATGTCGACCAGATATCCTAAATTAATCTAGTCCCATTTGCCAGCATTTGGACCAAATCCTACTGACTCATATACCCATTCAGATGCCTTTTAAATGTTGTAATTGTACCCGCCTCCACCAATTCCTCTGGCAGCTCATTCCATACACATTCCACCCTCCGTGTGAAGAAGTTGCCCCTTAAATCCCTTTTAAATCTTTCTCCTCTCATCTTAAACCTATGCCCTCTAGTTTTGCATTACCCTACCCTGGGGAAAAGACCTTGGCTATTCACCCTATCCATGCCCCTCATGATTTTATAAACTTGCATAAGGTCAAATAGTATTATTACTATAATCTTTTTATATTATGATGTAAATTCTATATGTCAGCATTGTTAACAATCTGTACGTATGTGTACGGGAGCAACATAGGCATTTGAATAGGATTTCAATTAATTGAGTAATCAACCATTGACGAAAACTACATGAAGGTCTTGATTTTGTTAGGAAAATGTGCATTTTGCAGGAGAATGGGTTGATGCTAAGCCCTTACTTAACAGGGATGGTACATATTGGCTGAGTTGGATTTAAGTTATAAAAGAATTTCACTAAGTTCATGTCACATACTACTATTAGCAGATGGTTCTGACCATTCCTCCCATTTGTTGGAAACTCTATCCTCTCTACCTGCTTATGGTTTCAATAATGAAAGGAAAGAAGCTAACTGTGTTGTAGAGGATACCCTGAAAGTAATGAAGTGAAATAACATGTGGCTATGCTTATTGTAAGAATGTGCACAAAAATATGCCAAGAATTGAAAGATGCATATCAATGTGTTTATTGTAGATAGTGTGCAATGGGGACATGCCTGATGCAGGAAGAAGGACAGAGCTTGCTTCTTGGTGTGAAATAGCACTCTCAGCAACATTTGTATGAATCCAAAAATAATTAGATCTAATTTCATTATTTACCACTGCCTTAATCTGAAAGCTTACGTTTAAAAATGTTCTTTAAAAAGATGCTTGAATTTTGTCTTTTAAACTAATAAATAATTACTGTCTTTCTAAATCCAGCTCTCCATAAATTACAGATGAAAATTGCTGAATTGAGTGGCAGTCAATTACAAAGATGCTCTTCAGTGGTTAGTGCACAAATATGACCAAATATACAGTATATTTCTTCTCTAATTTCAAATTACCCATCTTGCTTCTTCAGCCGTACCATTATTCAGAATTAACACCTTGGCTGTTAAATTTCCCGAGCATTTAGTTTATCAATTAAATATAATTTTAATTGTTTCGTATTTGCATAGAGTACAATATTAATTACAAAGAATATTTTCCTGTGCTTTGTGTAGAAGTGTTGGATATAATTTATTTTACAAATTAATATCATCTGTTCTATGCGATAACTTTAGTTCACCTGGGCATTCTGTGAAAGTGAAAGATTAACATTATTACTGCTCAGACTTGCGATCCTGATGATTTCACTATACATTAAGATATACTATAGTCTCTGACTTTATTGCATACATTTATATACTATAGACATTTGATACTGGCTACAGTATGACAAATAAGTGAAATAATGTTACATCGTGATGTTTTAAGACATCTTTTATAAGTGTAAGCATCATCCAGATTGCATGTGAGAACTACACTTGTGTAGAATTCCATACCTTAAACGTTGAAAAGCTTTCTGCTATCAAAATAAGGCCACTTTTTCTTGTGTGATCTATACATACCATCTGTATTTCCCAAACGTTGAATCTTATAAAGTACATACTGAATTATAGAACAATTATTGGCATGATATATGACAAACAGCTGCACATTTGTTTTTTGAGAATATTAATATAATCCTTAAAGAAATAAGGCACACACCTTGAACAGACTGATATACTTGGGTCTTTCACTGCTATCATCAGTAGATTCTGATCACTTCTGACACAAACTATGAACTTAAACTGTTCCATAACTGTAGCATGTGATAGCATAGTTTACTGATATGCAGACTATAGTATTATGAAGGGAGGGGAAAATATGGGATTGTATCCTGAAATTGAACACATATTTATTTCCTGATCTTTGGTTGTCTTGGGAAGCTTTGAGCAGAACTGGGCACTGTCAACAAAGTGGGGAATTCCAGTATGCAGGCCACCAAAGTATATGGCATCTTGTCATATATGATCTTCCTCTGCATCACTCATAAAATAACAGTTGAGATGGCAAGAGTCATCAAGTGGCTATTAATTGGCCATATAAGAGTCTAAAATGGTCTAACCACTGCTGGTAAAGTACTAACGTAGGTGGAAAGATGATAGGTGTGATGTCTCCTGCCATCGCACCACTTGCCAGCCAGTTCTTAAGTTGGGGAGAGTGGGAAGGCAGTGGTGAATAATGGTCTGGTCATAATTAAGTATTGAATAAGTTCCTTGTACTTCTGCATTGAAGGGATAATTGGTCAGTGAGTATTTATGTTTTTAAGATGGATTGATTTTAGATTAGCCAGACACTGGCATTAATCAGAACAATATGCATGACATTTTCAATTAGAATAGGTATCACGTAGTTTGGTGCATTTCAATATTTGATAATGTGACTTTTACTCTTGATTTACTGACTAAAGATACTTTGGTCAATATATGCACATATGTTTGAAGGACATGTTTTATCAGCTTGCTGTTTAACTTTTGTTTTCTTTTTAAATTATTCATGGGCTGTGGACATCATTGGCAAGATGGGCATCATTTATTGCCTGTTCCTTATTGCCCTTCTGAAGGTGGAGGTGAGCTATCTTCTTGAGCTGCTGCCAAAATGGTGTTAGGCAGTATTTTTAATCCAGTGATGATAGAGAGCAGTAATTTATTTCCAAGTTAGAGCGGTATGTAAACTTGAGAGGATTTTGAAAATAACAGTGTTCCCAGATGTTTGCTGTCCTTGTTGTTTCAGATAGTAGAGCTTGCTGTCAAACATGGTGCTATCAAAAAGGCTTTGGTAAACAGCTGCAGTATATCTTGAAGATGGAACAGTGATCCTGCATGGACAGAACAAATGTTTCATGATTTGGATGGATTATCGGTCAGACAGCTGTTTTCAGGATGGTGTTGAGCTTCCTGGGGGTTTTTAGAGCTATACATCAGGTCAAATGGAGCGTTTCCATTGCATTTGAGTTGCTCCTTGTAGATGGTGGTCAGGATGTGGAGAGTCAGGAAATGAGTTACTTCCCACAGAATTCCCGGTCTCTGAACTGCCATAGTGCCATATTTTTATGGCTATCTTGACGACCTCCAGACGTGATGAGTCTTGCCATTGAATAGCAGCGATTAGAATCCCTATTACCATTGATAGTTATTGCCAGGCACAGTGTGGCTATTTGAACTTATAAGCCCAAGTTTAGACATTATTCATATATTGTATATGGACACAGACTGTTTCATAATCTAAGGAGTGATTAACCAATGAAGTCAGCCATGAATATCCTGACTTTATGATAGAGGGATGGTCATTGAAGAAGCTGAAGATGGTTGGGCCGAGAGCACTGCCCTGAACATTTCCAGCCCCAATGCCCCAGGGCTGAGATGATTGGTCTCAACAACCATAGTTATCTTTGTGTTTGATATTACCCCCGCCAATGGAGACCTTTTCCCTGAATCTTTAATGCTAAACTCAGACAAATGCCTTGACGTCAAAAGCAGTTACTCACCCTTCACTTCTGGAACACATTTTTGTGCTTGACCCAGATATTACTGACTCTGAAGTTGAGTGGTTAACCGAAACTGACTAAAGGTAGACAATCAATGAGTTAGCTGCTGTTTCATAGCATTCTTGATTACACCTTCCAAAATTTTGTTTATGATTGAATGTAGACTGAAGGGGAGGTCATTGATTGAATTTGATTTGGCTTGCTTTTAGTGGACAGGACATTTCTTTGTTGAATAGATGCCAATGATGTAGTTCTAGTGAAAGAACTTGGATGGGGGCACATTAGTTCTGGAATGCAAATCTTTGGCACTACAGCTACATTACTTTTGAGACCCATTGGCTTTGCTGAAACTAATGAGTTCAGCTGTGTCTCAATACTATGCAGAATATATCTTATTGGTTAAAAACTGACATCTGTAATGCAGCAGATCTCAGGAAGAGGCCAAGTTGGATCATCTATCCAGCACTTCAGATTAAGATTATTGCAAACATATCTCTTGCATTTGTGCTGGGCTTTGCCATTATTGAAGATGGGGATGTTATAGAACCTCCTGTTTCCATAAATTGCTTTTCTGTTCATTACTATTCACAACTGGGATGTGACAAGACTTCAGAGCTTTGATCTGATTTTTTTTTTGTTCTGGTTCTCTCCAAAGCATTCAGGTTCTTTCCCTGAGCATGAGCATTAAACTTTGTGTTCAATAGGTTGGCATCGCAATTTTATGAACGCCTAGTGTTGCCTTTCTAGCAGGTTCTTGTATACTCCTCATTAAACCAGGATCAATCCCCAGGCTCAATGGTAATAGGTTTTCTGGGGTCATGAGGTTGTAGATTGTTGCTGATGGCTCATAACTCCTTCACGGATGTTCTAGTTTTGAATTGTGAGATCGGTTCTGAGTCCATTTAGTATGATGGCAGTGTCACAATGGAGAGTGTCCTCAGTTTAATGAAAACACCACAACGACTGTGCAGTGGTCACTCTCTCTGTTCCTGGATGCACCTGTGACAGTCGATTGATGGTGACAAGGTCAAACATGATTTTCCTCTGGTTCTCTCATCAGCTGCTAAAGGCATAGTTTGTTAATTATGTCTTTAAGGATTCAGCCACTAATGGTTCCAAAAATTAGCACTATGCCACTTTCCCTAATTATAATAAACTAAGTTATTATAGTGCTCACTCCCTTTTCAGCTCCATAAATATCGGATCTTTGGTGTGATCATTAACAGCAATTCCTCTTATTTAAACTATTTCTGTTTGTTCATAATCTTTTTCAAGTAGTTTACTGTATATAACCAGTTTTCTCTGTTCTTTTTCATGGGATGTGGGCATTGCTGACACTTGAACTAAATGGCTTGCAAGGTCATTTCATAGGACAGTTAAGAATCAATCACATCCCTGTGGTTATGGAGTCAGAGGTAGGCCAGACCAGAAAAAGATGTCAGATTTCCTATCCTAAAGACCATTGATTAACCACTTGGGTTTTTACAGCGATCAATGATAGTTTCATAATTAGCATTATGGATTCTGTTTGTTAACATTCCAGATTGATCAATTGAATTCAAAGTGAGATTGGAATCATTGTTAGATTTGAACCCATGTCCCAAGACATTAGTCTAGATTTCTAGATTACAAGTCCATTGACTTTAACAATTAAGCTACTGTCTCCCCTTATTTGACATTAACATGCCATTTACAAGTATCTGGCTACATTTGTGCATATGGGAGATGGAAGTTTAATGTTGATAATGTGTCTCCAACTCCTGTTAATGTTTTTCAGTTGACTAGCTCTACCACAAACAATAATTGAATTACTCCAATATGTTTTGGAGTCCACAAGGGACTCCAAAGCTATTAAGAGACTCACAACGATGCAGAGGTGAAGACCTGTGGTGGAGAAAATCCATGATTTCAGTCTTCTATACATCATGCAGCAGTTTTATTGTCCACTTTTAATAATGGGAAAATAGTGCTCAGACTGATGAACTTGCGATAAGTGCTTGGGACTGAACTAGCTTCTAATAGATGTATGGAGTTAGAATGGGAGCTGTAAGTGAAACTAATATTAACTATTTATAATCAGATACAAGTTTTTCCAAAGCAACCCAATGACTGGCACTATCTTTTTGCAAGACAATAAATTTTTAGTTAGCTATTATTGTTAGCAAGCATGTTTATAAATATACAAAGATCAGTGGCAGATTTTCCTCTTTAATTTTGTTGTAACATCCAATTAGAATATAGAACTCAGTTGAAATCGTATTAATATTAATATAATGTTAATTATTTCATTGTGAGATAAAAATTTAAGAGAATTCTTTTGTATTATTAATATTCAATTTAAGTAAAACATTATACGACAGTGTTATAATAAATGAGACCAGCTGTAGTTTCAGTCATGATGAGTGCCTGTCTCTTTCACCGTTGGCCTTTTCTACCTGTAACGAAAACAAAGTATTTTGTGGTATAGATTTTTTTTTTGTACCTCGTATAGTTCTGTGACTTTTTAAGATAGAAGAATTACATCCTATTTGTGTTAAATGTACAAAACTAAACAATTCAGGCATGTTCCAGTAATTCAGTAAGATTTTGTAAACAGATCTGTTTGAATAGGTTTTTATGTTTATATGCTTTGAGCTCTGCTCAGTAATGTTGTATGAGTGTATATGTTAATTAAAATTAATTTATAATAGCACAATGAATGGCTGTTTATTAATTTCAGGAAAATCGAATGCCTTGTCATGATAGTAATGCATTTTTCTCTCAGCGGGTGAGTACGCTTTAAGGGATAGTGGACATGAAACTTGACAGCGTTGACTGGCAGTGTGCTCCCTTGAAAAGCTGATGGAAAGAATGATCCTTTGCATCCAGAATCATTACTGATTTCATGCTCTCACTCATAGGAGGAATGCAAATGTGGATGATTGGTGTAGGGCAGGCTGTACCACAATTCGTGTATGTTATTTGTAGCCTCAATGTTGACAACATTAAAGTGCAATGACTTTGCAA